AGACTTCCGTAGTTATAAAATACACAGAGACCAGACGTTTACCAGACCAGACCAGACCAGTTCAGACCAGACCAGACCAGACCAGACCAGACCAGACCAGACTAGCAAATTTTAGTCCAAAAGAAAACATCCTTAAAAGTAACAAGTTTATACTTAAACAAAAGGAGGTATTGACGGTTGAAAAATAAAATAGAAGCGTTGTAATTAATAAAAATTGAAAAAAGTACATACATAAAAAAGGAATGTGGTCTTAAAATTTACGAGTATCCAATAAATTTTTCTCCATGACTCTGCGTCTCTACCGTCTACCCTTAATGGCATGTATGGATGAAGTGTTAAGAGGCGTTAGTAATGAAATTGTTAGTAAGGGTCTGAAAAGGAAGATAAGTGTAAGTGTTAGATTATAAATTAACCTTTTTTGGGAGAACTAAAAAAATGGAGTGTTAGGATGTTTTCTTTTGGACTGTTTTCAGTCCCAGACAAGACTTAAACAGACCAGACCAGACCAGACCAAACTTAAACAGACCAGACCAGCCTTCCGTAGTTTTAAAATACACAGAGACCAGACGTTTACCAGACCAGACCAGACCAGTTCAGACCAGACCAGACTTAAACAGACCAGACCAGACCAGACTTAAACATACCAGACCTGACCAGACCAGACCAGAAAATTTCAGTCCAAAAGAAAACATCCTTAGTAAAAGAAGTTTTTTCCCATCAATTTACGAATATGTCCTTACACGTATTATATTACATTTAAAATTTATAATTAATACTCTGTATTAAAAATGAAATACTTGCATCTGGACGATATATATGTATATTTTAAAACAACAAAGATGAATTATCGGATTCATCACTTCCGAGTTAGCCAACCCAACCCACAGTCCACACCAAAGGCAAATACAATCATCGTCCATGACATCCTGTTTGTGTATGAAAAATTGAAGTAACCTTTTTCCGGCAACTCCAATTTCTGGCAATCCTTCAATTTCTGGAAAAGCTTCTTCCGTAAAAGCTATTTCGCAGATGAACATTGATAGTAGATGAGGTGAGACATAGTAGAGTACTAACCTGGAACAAGGATGAAAGATTGAGACGAAGGCACATGAGCAGACGAGATGGCTTGCGGTGTTAAAAAATAAATTACTTATTATTAACCCGGAAACACTCCAAATCGGGGTGTTAAAAAAATGGACATTTGAGGTGTTAGGAAGGTGATTACTAACACTTCCTAACACTTATTAACACTTGCTGACACTTCTTTGTTTTTCTCCCAAACAAATGTTAATGTTAACTTTTCTCAACACTTCCATTACTTACACTCCCTAACACTCAATCCAAACAGGCTCTAAATGTTTTTGGCTAAACCCATCATGCTTCACCATATCATTTTTCTTGTTTCCTGGCCCGTACGTCAAGCCCGAGATCGACCACGGCGAGGCTTCCTCTGCCTCTCCTTGCTTGTTAATAACGACTTTTAAAAAAACTCTTATGCTATTATAAAAAAAATAATGTAGTGTTTTGAATGCTGTTTACACTCCTATACTACTAGTCTACTACTAGTTTTTTTAACGCGCGCTGTGCGATAGAGATAATGCCCAAAACATTTTCTATAACTTAAGGTCGTAGCTTTTTCGTGCACCTTATATAGTATCTGGCTATCTGCAAGCAAAAGTAACTTCAATCTTACTTATTTAGATTATTATACCATTCAACGCGTGAAATAAAAAGTTGTGTGTTGGGTGAAAAAGTTGATTCATAAGACTGATAAGCTAAAAAACATGATAGTTAATTGAGGCTCTTGATAACAATAAACAAACTTCTCCTTTAATAATAAAAGTAAGAATCTTCTAATAGTCAAAACAATAGTAAATGATGTCTGAAATATTCTAATCTGGTATGTATCTTTCTGGTCTGATATAATCTGATCTTTGTGATGTGAGAAGAATTTTTTTATATGATCTAATCCATTTTCTTAATCTAAACTAAAATAAATAAGAGGGGAAAGCGTGCTAAAATATGAGTGATTTCTTTTAGTATAACGGTAAGTATAGTGATCTACACTTTACTCCTCTTTAAATAACGAGAGATTAAGAATATCACACCTATTTTAAAAATCATTAATGTTTGCATGCCAATTCGATTCACAATTGGAGTGCATATTATATATTAGTGATTTAGAAAATAGAGTGAAAAGTTAAATATCACACAAGAGTAATGTCTCATTTAAAAACTGGGCAATATAATATTTTGTACAAAAATTGGCAGAATACCACTCCATTTTGGGGGGAGGAGTAAAAAAGACTCTTACTATTTCAAGTCCATAACCTGAGCTTCTATACTAAAAAAATTATCATATGAACTCGCCTAGTTCTGAACACAATCACTCAAGACATTTTGACCTGTTATAGCAGGTTTTTTTAATAACAGGTTATTTAAAAAAACAAATTAGTAAACTTAATAAATCTAAAGAAATGCTTATAAATTTAAAAAATAGTAACGATCTTTTTACAAGTTGTAAATAAAAAATCAGTAGTAATAATAATACGGAGTAATATATAAATCATGTCTGAAGTTTTGTAATTTGGTCTGTATGTTTCTGATTTGGATCAACCTGATGCGAGAAGAATTTTTCTGACCTGACGTGATCTAAACTAAATAATTGTAAGCAATAAGCAATAAGAACAATATGAAAAGAACAACTCTTTCAACCAAGATATGCATTCAATTTTTTGCGGCCACGAGAAGTTAATAACTAATTAAGGGGTGATTGCTAAACTCCACGAAAATTGTATCGGGTGTCACAATGTCAGATCACTTCATTCTAAAGAGAATAAACGCGTGGTTTTGGAAAAATTCTCGTAGGATTAAAAAAGTTTGAAAAGTACAAAATATGACTGTCATATTTTTATTCTCAAAATAAGAGTAATTACCGGTTAGTTTGAAAAAAAACTGTCATTTTTAAAGTCTGATACTGCCAAAACATGACAATAATTAGTCATATTTTGAGAATGAAAACATGATAATCATATTTTGGAATATAGAAACATTTTGAGTCCTATATTTTATAGAGTAAGATTAAATATTTATCTTCTACAAGTAGGGAAAAAGCTGAAAATGCAAAATTGAATATAAAACATTGAATGTAAACTAAACCAATCAAATGAATAAGAACTACCTTCTGCCGTTTTGAATTTAACGGAGGTAAGCATAAGTCATAGACTTAATGATGAATGGTACACCGATTAAAACAAATTGTACAAGTGAAACTTGCTTTAGTGTTACACCAACATTTTTATCATTCCTAAAAAGCCATAACCAAGATTGGTGTTTATAAGTTTTTATTTATTTATTATTAGATTAGATATTATTTTAAATTCTTTATATCATAATTAAGAAAGAAGTTATGTTTTACTACGTGTTACGTACTTCCTTCGTCCTATTGAACTCTGCCAACTTCCCATTTTTTGTTGTCCAAAAAAACTTTGTCACTTTCTTATTAAAAGAACTAATTTGTGGTTTTTCACATTTCTCTCTCTTCTGCACAAACTTCAACCACACATTTTTTACTATAGTTTTTTACAAGAATAATACTAAAATAAAACTTATTTACATAAATATGACTATTCATCACTATAAGGTGGTGTTGTGGTAACTTAAGTTCAAAACTTGAACATAAATTACTATGATTTCATTACTACTCTAGTAACTAATCATATTTTTGTAAATCATCTTTATTTTGGTCGTATTTATATAATTATTTCTTTTTACTATTCTTATTTCTCACCTACTTTGCACTTGGCAAAGTGCCGGTGGACGGAGGGAATATAGTTTAAGATTAATTCTATTAACATCCTCCTATTCAACTGGTTGAGGTATAAGACTTTGGAATTGTGCATGCAATTTTGATGTATAAGACTTTGGATTTATAGTTTGTATTAAAAATTGCCAAGAATTCAAGTGAAAATAGGGAAATTATCCTAAATAGAATTTAAAATGTTTGTGTACTCTAAAATATGATTGTCATGTTTTTATTCCCTAAATATTACTACCTCCATCTCACTATGTTTGGGACAAAGGAGTGGTACAACTTTTAAGAAAAAAGTGAAATTGTGTGGTTGATATTGAAATGATAAAGGAGAAATAAAGTAGAATGGATTGTAACCACCCAAATATTACCAATTAAAGTATGAAAAAAACTTAATAGGAGAGACAAAAAAGGTAAAACGGGACAAAAGTTAGGGAGACAGGAGTAGTAATTATTGTCATATTTTGATAGTACTAGACATTAAACACAATATTTATTACAATCTGATTTTGGGAAAAAATTTCAAACGGTTTTACTCATGTTTCAAAAAAAATCCGTGAAAATATTGATCTTACTCCATTTGTAAAATATTCCCTGTATCTATAAACCCCCTTTGGGCACTTTAACAAACGGGGGGCTGGTGCATGTGGGCCGTAGTTTTATACTCGAACATGTATGTAGTTGACCATACTGTACTTAACATTTTTTATTTACCAAATTCAACATTTTTTTAACGATATATTAAATTCAACATTTTTTTGAAGCAATACTAAATTCAACATTAAATAGCATAAAATATATTTTCTTTTTCATGTTAATTTATTAAATTTACATGATACGTCTTACTGGTGTTTGTTTTTTTCTGATCATAGAGTTTCGAGTTTTCTGTTGTAAGATTTTTATAATCATAAAATGTAAAAAGAAAATGAAAATTAGATACATGGATCCCTAAATTCGTTATTTGCATGTTCAACATCCAAGCACTCCGATCCATAAGAAAAGTCAAAAACGACGGAAGCATAAATGTCAAATTACAAGCAATCAAAATCACAGTTTTCCTCCTTTATTATCAAAAAGAATAATAATAATAATAATAATATTATGAAAAAGAAATTAGTAGCACCGCCACATTATTTCAAATTTTCCACAGTAATACGTACTCCGTAATAACTAAGCAATATAAATATACCCCACACAAGCCGTTTATCTTAGCTCAGTCACTCAGCAGCTGTTATTCTTTTTCCGTTCATCACCTCCGGCCGCCGATACCCTCTCCGATCATGGCTTCCATTTCCGGTGTGCTCAGCCTCACAATAAGCATCATAGCTCTAACCCTAGCTGGCTACTCTATTTACCAGCACACCCAAACAGCCCTTAAGGGGGAGCTTAATGTTTCCCCAACGTGGCTGGTTGACCCATTAGAGTCAACCGGAAGCATATTGTCATCACTGGGTCTTGGTAAATCCTCCGGCAAGCTTTCCGACGAGGCGTGCGTATTCACCGCCGTCAAAGAGGTGGTCGACGCGGCCATCACGGCTGAAAGTCGCATGGGCGCTTCTCTCATCCGCCTCTTCTTTCATGACTGTTTTGTTGACGTAAGTAGCTTATTTTGCCCACTTTATTTGGTTATAATTATATTTTGAAATTTGGAATTTTTGTGGCATTGAATATTTACTTCATTTTTGAGATCTACGTGGGTCCAAGAATTATACTCCATTCGTTTGACCTTACTTTATCAAATTTTCTTTCTTATTTGTCTCAAAGATTTTAACAGTTTTATTTAAAACAATAAATTTATAGTTCTACTATTATCTCTTCTTTACCCAAATCTCAAATACACATTTTTTATTTTTCTAATTTCACATTTAACTTAAATTAATTTAATTAATATTCCATCCGTCCCGAAAAAGTTTATCAAATTGACTTTTCGTGATCAATAAGAATCAACTTTGATCAATGATATTTTTAATATGAAATTATTTTGAATATAAAAATTATATTAAAATGTTACTTATAACATGTATAAGTTAAATATAAATACTCCTTATCATTGTGTCATTATCCAAAAAACTACTCCGTAGTAAACAATTTGGAGAGGGAGGTAGTGTTAATACGTGATGAACTCATGAACCGTTGACTATTCAACTTTCTCCATTTAGCATATTTTACGTACTACTTAGTACGTACCATATTACTGTGACGATGACATTTCGACACTATATAATATACGAGTATTTAGTTGTATAAGGAGAATAAATGTTGTTGCTACTTAAATTTAATCTCTTGTGCATATTAATCATATTAAAAAACTTTGTCATTTTTATTGAAACTAAATAATATGGTGTATCTATTTAATGTTATTTTTTCTGCATAATTATCCGCTGACATAGTGCGTACCTACTTTATTACTCCTATTACTTATGCAAATCAACTTTGATCACATTTTATGGAACAATAGAGTTTCATTTATTGCATAATAAGTTCTTACCTATAAAAGTTATTACAATCAAGTACCAGAAATACAAACGCCGATCGAAGTCTTAGATTATTGTTTTGTTGAGCATCATATATAATTTTATTAATAACATTTTTTGTTTTGGATGCAATTTAAGTTGGGACCAAATAGAGTTCATCACCAACCCAATAGTTAATTAACTATAAATAGTTCTTTGTTCATTGAATTGGAGTAATACATATATACACAAACATATATATACAAAGTCATGTTTTTCAATAATTTATTTAACTGAATTTCTGACTAAATGTAAATTAAAATTTTGTAAATATAATATAAAATTAATGAAAAACGTTCTTACAAAATTAAAATACAAATTCAGTGCAAAACCCCTCAAACGTTCTTGACCGTACGAAACATTGGTGAGGCGCATCAAACTAGATCATTGCTATATATTCTGTATATAGCAGTCTTATGAATTGTTCTAGGTACTCTCTGTGTCATATTTTACATGTCTTACTTTCCTTTTTGAGTTGTCCCAAAATAAGTGTCACATTTCTCTTTTTGGAAAGAAATACGTAGTTCAATTTACTATATTCAAATCTCAATCACAATTTTTACCATTTCAACCACTTTATTAAAAATTATGTTAAAACTAATGGAGACACATAAAATGGGAGATGGTGGTATTTGCTAACATGTTCTTTTCTTAAGTAAGAAAACACGGGAATGGCAGACACATCATGCAGCACTAATATGTCATGATGGCTAGGCTTAAAATATGTGGTATCTATTAGTAGGTAGGCTTAAAATAATCGTACTTTAATATTTTTAATAATGACGGGTTGAGTATTTTAATTGTGATCTATCATTTTGAAATCTGTGAAGAAATTCCAGTAGGTAAAAAGAGTGAAAAAGGAAAATGAGGTCGGGTAACAAATTAAAGCTAAAAGAGAATATTTGGGTAAGAAGCTGATTCATAAAAAAGGATAATGAAGTGGAATTCCACCATGTGGGGAGCATATGTAATTATGTATATTGACCATCGTCATTCCAGATTACTAAATTTTGTAGTGAAGTTGACTTGTTGAGCATGATCCATATCCATATAATACGGAGTACTGTATATCTTGATTCGTTCACAGAAATTGGAATCGATCGAACAAAAGACATGACTTCAATGCTGTAATTAAAGAATGTCTAGTAATGTTTCATAAATTGGATACAAAATTAAAGCAAAGCAAAAAAAAAAAAATAGACTTGCACATTCTTAAAACTTAAACTTGATTCGTGTAGTTTCTAATTAAGAGGTTTACAATTTCGTATTAATGTCATTTTATCAACGATCAGGGGCGGAGCTAGGGGTGCCCAGGCTAGGCCCTGGCCCACCCCAAATCTGAAAAATGTCAATATTTTTAGTGTAAAAAATTTCGTGTAATTTTTTTTCCAATAATATTCTTTGTACTGACCCAGTCTAGCCCAGTGTCCTGGCTACGCCCCTGTCAACGATGTTCATTAAAATTTAAGTGTCCAACAACTTATTGTTATTGTTGTTCTTGCCGCTAATAATAATAATGCCAATAGTAATACTCCCTCCGTATTTTAATATTCACTACATTAGGTTTGACACATTACTTTAGGAGTAAAATAGTAAGGGTAGTGAATGGTGTAGAAAATGTATAAGAGAGTGTGTAAAAGTATGAAAAAGAAAATAAAAAGTAGATAAAGTAATGATAGTTGAGTATTTTATAAAGGATAAATTTAACAAAAATGAAAATATTGGAAACATTTAAATGTTGTCCAAAAAAGAAAATGTAGTGAACTTTTAAATATGGAGGGAGTAATAATACTCCATAGTATTTGGCATAGATTTGAACAAATTCATGAAGGGTTTGGCAGGAATATGCTAAATTTGTGCCAAAAACACTTTGGCATGAACTATTTCACACGAAATCATCATCAAATCCGTATCAAATCTGTATCAATCCCATAAATTTTTGTAGTGAATATAGGTACCAAGAATTTGATTTAATGTTATATGTTTACGTTTATTGAATTTTAATATAGACACATAAAATTATTTTCTTGTTTATCTATTTCACTAGGATCATCTCATATCAAATTTAATAAAAATTATGTGCCTCTAAACTATTTTGAGTTTAATATATATGGAGTATCATTTTATTGAATCATCAATGTAAATAACATAAGCTATTAGGCTCATTTTTCATAATGGTTTCGCACATTCTCTCCTATAAAATGTTTGAAAGAGGGAGGGAGATAAAATATTACTCCCTCCGTCCCGCTAAGATTGTCTCATTTTACTTTTTCGGGAAGTCCCACTAAGATTGTCTCATACCAAATTTGGTAAAGATTGCGTGGTTGTAAATCATTCTTACTTTATTCTTACTTTATCAATTTAATATCAACCACACAAACCCACTTTTCTTAATAACTGTGTCATCTTCTTCCGTCCCAATCTTAGTGGGAAGGAGATAGTACTATCGTATTACTGACACAAAATACTTTTTATTTTACTTCGTATTTTTTTTAAAAGGAAATTTTATTTCGTACGAAGTATTTAATAAAGTACTCTTATAAATTTTGACCACTACGGATTTATATTGTCCAAACAGGGTTGTGATGCCGGGCTTCTTCTAAACGACACAGCGACTTTCACCGGCGAACAGACTGCCGGCGGCAATGCTAACTCCGTCAGAGGTTTCGAGGTAATTGAAAGGGCTAAGCAGAACGCCAAAACCAAATGCCCCGACACGCCCGTATCTTGCGCTGATATTTTATCCATTGCTGCCCGTGACTCTTTCCGCAAATTCACCGGCAAAACGTACGCCGTGACTCTGGGCAGAAAAGATGCCAGAACGGCGAACCTCACCGGAGCTAACACCCAACTCGTCGGACCGTCGGAAGACTTGGCTTCGCAGCTCCGAAAATTTGCCGACAAAGGGTTCACCCCGACGGAGATGGTAGCCCTCTTAGGGTCCCACACAATCGGGTTCGTCAGATGCCCAATTGCATGTGTTAGTGGTTTCATTAATCCTGCCCGGACCTCAACTTTCCAGTGCGGCTGCCAAACAACCGTAAACGCCTCGGGATTGGTCGGCCTGGACCCCACTCCCGCAAAGTTCGACCAACGTTACTATTCCGACGTGGCCAGGGGTCAGGGACTTTTGTTTTCCGACAACGAGCTGTTGAAGGGGAACACGACCGCGGCCGCCGTCAGGAGGTACCGGGACGCCATGGACGCTTTCCTCGCCGACTTCGCCGCCGCGATGGTGAAGATGAGCAACCTGCCGCCGTCCAAGGGAGTGAAACTTGAAGTCCGCGATGTTTGTAGCCGAGTGAATCCCACTTCTAACCCTGCTCTGGCTTCTATGTGAAGGGATATTTCAATTTACCCCTTTCCGTTTTCCTACCAATAAATATGAATTAGTCATGTATGGAAATGTAACTCGTGTTTTGAATGATGGGGCCGGCCGGAATTTTATGATTTCCGACGCAGCTGAAAGTTTAAAGTATAAATAATCGAAGTTCCCCAGGTTCTGTTTAAAGTATATACTTCAAATAAGTAGTACTCCCTCCATCCCCTTTTAAATGTCTCATTTTATGATATTGGGATGTCCCTATTTAATTATCTAATTCCTTATTTGGTAAAGTTTGTGTGACTCAAAATCATTCTTACTTTATTCTTACTTTATCAATTAATATCAACCACACAAATCCACTTTTCTTAAAACTCGTGTCACCCTCTTCCAGGACATTTAAAAGGGGACGAAGGGAGTATATTGGTTCAAATAAGAACAAGGCTGAGAGGTGTTTGGATTCTGCCCCTGAATCAGAATCATAATTAGTTTTCAGAAGTTGGTCTTCCACAACTTTAAAAAATCTGATTCTATGAGTAAATTAGACATCAGAATCACTTTTTATGATTTTCGGCGCAGTAAAAAACCTGATTCTAGGAGCTCAGAGGTGTTTGAAAGTGATTCGATTTTGCTTCTTTTTTAAAGCAGAAGCACAATCAGAATCAATTTTCACTCAAGCACTCTAACTTCTGCTTCTGCTCCCTGAAGGAGCAAAAGCATATTTAAGAATCAGATCCAAACACTCCCTTATTGTATGAAGTGAGAACAAATCACAATCGTCCATTATCATATTTCATCTGCGATCAAATAAAATCACGTAAAGGGCATTTACTTATTATACTAGTAGCTGTTTTGTAACTGATGATGTTGGGGGTTATTGTCCGGTCCACTATTGCAAAAAGTAACTTCCATATAATATTAAATAATACATTTCACGTCTCACGTGATTTGAATTTTCCATTTAGAGGAAATTGTGCTTATTTTTTGGAAATAATATCTAAGGATTTGCTATTGCACAACATATTATGAATCATATCATTTGCATATTTTGCTCACTCATATGCATCCATATAATTCAAGGAAAAGGTGCAAATAGACCCATGTACTAACAAAAAAAGTCAAATAAGTCCTTATTTAGGAGGCTCTGTTTGGCCGTCACCATTTGGGGTGGTTCCCGGTGGAATTTTTTGATGAAATTTTTTGAGCATCTTATTCATTAAGTCTAGTTTACACATACCAAATGTCAGCTAAAACTTCAATCAGGAAGACATTCAAATGAATTCTTGAAAATAACTGCACAGTTAGTACCAAATGACGACGGCCGGAGAGAGCCTCCTAAATAAGGGCTTATTTGACCTTTTTTGGTTAGTACATGGGTCTATTTGCACCTTTTTCCTATAATTCACTATTGCACATTTGTGTCACTGAAATGCATTATACGAGATTGTGTGTTAGATACCGATCCTTGTGCATGATGTAATTGTTGTGATTCTCTATGTCCATATTATGGCAAGATTCTAGTTCTCTAACGTATATAATTATTGTGCTACGGATATTAGTTCATGTGTATTACATATTAGTTTAAATTATATGAATTCCTCATGTGCTTGATAATATATAGTTCTTAATTATTGTGCTTTAGATATTGCTTTTTGTGATTGAGATACTTGATATGATGCTTTATATACAAACTATGTGAAAGATATTTCTTTTCATGTGCATCAGATATTGATTGTTGTGCGTTAGATACATGTTCTTGTGCGTTAGATACATATTGTACTTTATATATATATATATATATATATATATATATATATATATATATATATATATATATATATATATTTTGCATCAAATACCAATATATTGTAGTGTGTTATATCTTAGCTAATAGTAAGATAGTTGGTTATGTATTAGTTTAATATATATGTATATTCGTATTGTGCATTAGTTAGCCATTAGATATTGATACTTGTGTGTTATATATTGGTTTAATCTTAGTTGTGTTAAACCCTTATGTGTTAGATATTAATTAGTTTTTAATTATTGTGTGTCAGATGGTTCTTTGTCCATTAGATATTGAATTTTGTGCTTAAGGTACTTGCTTTAATTAGTATTTTCATATGTATTGTGTGTTAGATAATGATTCTTGTGCGTTAGATATTAGTGGTTGTTTGTCAGATACATATTATTGTGCATGCGGTAGGTGAACATGTTAGTTGTGATTTATTGTATGTATACATATTATACAAATTGTTTTAAAACAAAATTATATATATATATGACACATTGGTGTCATTTGAAAGATAATAAAAAATTATTTAATTTGATACTCAGTATAATTTTTGTTAAAATCAGGTTATAATTTAAAAAGTTAAATCAATTTTTGAACTAAAACACTATATGATTTGACGTTTTATCTCTTCCTACTTTTTTTTGTAAGTGATGGTCTCCAAAGGATGCCACATTAAAGGATTTTTGAAAATCACTCTACTACCCTTCTTTAACCTACGTATGGTACGTAGTATTAGAGGATGCAAGGGTAGTTTTTTAATTTTTCACTCCAACCATACATCCGTGCATCTCATGCTTCTATGACCCTTAAATAGTTACATATATCTCTTCAAAATATTAATATAGTTATATCTATTTTCGAAAATTTAGTATACTTTATTGTATATATATATATAGTTATATTATATATATATATATATATATATATATATATATATATATATCTTGAAATTATCAATATACTAATATCTATATTTATAAAATATATAAATACTACGTATATACTTTATGAATTAAAATCAAATAATGGAGTAGTTTGTAAGTTACCAAATCGTCTAAGTTCGACCCACTCGTGATTGTTGTGTCCGCCTTCTGCACACAATCTTTCCATAAAGAGCATTGATGATTGATAATCTTGAAACGGGACTCAATTGAATCCCGACTCCGTGGTTTGCGAAAATAATACATGAACTCAACCCCAAAAACTCTCCCCCATTTGATTTATGTCAATCACACCATCTTCGGATATGGTTACCCAAGTGTTGCATAAAGTAACATCCTCACTAGCACTCCAACAGGGATGGAGACAGGGGGAGGCTAGCGGTGGCCACGGCCCCTGCAAGAAAAAAATTGTGAGGTATATATATATATATATATATATATATGTATGTATGTATGTATAAATATTTATAAGTAGTAAAAAATATAATGAAAATTTAAGTTTTGGCCCCTGCTATATGAATTCTTTAAGCCTCGGCCCCTATAGTTTGTCAATCCTGGCTCCGCCCACTGCACTCCAATCACCACCTCTTCTTGGGGAAGACATCAAAAAAATTTAGATAGTTAAGAAATATGATGAAGAATGATATAAATTATCACAGCCGTTGGATTTACCAATTTTTTTAAAAACTATAAACCAGCTATCATTGTGAGTGCTCTCTGACATTAGCATGACGTCTGGGTCACGTCATCTGTATCAAATAATTCCTGCGCACCACGGCCCAGTTGGCTACTTTCGCTCTGTGCACACCTGACTTGGTCGGCCCCACTCCCTTTAATTTTTCTTTTCCCTTTAATTTTTCTTTTCCATTTAATTTTAGGTAGTCAACCCACCCTTCAAATGTAGCCTCCTCCATCCCATTACCCATTTTTACTCCCCCATATCGACAACCACTACAAGGAATTAGGAGTTCAAAAAATCCACTTTTAGCATTTTAGACTCTTAATCCTACACCACTCCAAGTGGTCTTACATCCCCAATTTGCAACGGAGCCGCGAAATGTACGACTGGGGTTGTGTTCGGACGGATTCGATTCATATGGGATGTTTGGGAGCAAGTTTTCATGTTGACTCCGTATAATCCCCCCCCCCCCCCCAATATGAGCATGAAAAGTCATTTCACGTTTTTGACTTTGATCTGTCCAGGTCCAAATGATCCAAAGAAAAGGATAAACATTTATCTTCAGCCCCTTATCTAAGAGATGAAAGAACTTTAGGCTATTGGGCCATGGACATATGATGTCCTTCGAGATTAAATATTTGTGATAAAATCTGCCATCATATAGACCATTAGTGACTTTCCTGCCTATGGTATGCTTTTAGGATGGAGCACCGCCAGTCTTATGGGATGCCCGATATGTATGGAAAAATCAAGTGCAAATCGGCTCAAGTTTAGTAGAAAACCAAGCTATTTTGATTGTCATCGAAAGTTTCTCCCAAAGTCCCATCGATATCGAAAGGACAAAAAGTATTTCATCCGGGAAAGAGTTGAACGAGACCCCCCAACCCTGAGACTGACAGGCGAACAATTTTTTAACCAGGTTCAACGTATTCTTATGGTTGTGCAGGAGCCACACACGGATCCAGATGGCTATTGTGATACCCATAAATGGACAAAGAGGAGTATTTTTTTAAGAGTTTCCATATTGGAAACACCTGCTCATTTGTCACAATTTAGATGCCATGCACATTTAGAAGAACGTCTTTGATAATATATTCAACACGGTGATGAATTTCAAAGACAGAACCAAAGATGGTCTTGCCTCTAGAAAAGATATGACAATGTGATGCTCATGTAATCATGCAAAGATTTGTCGTGATTACTAAATTGAGTTTATTGTTTTAGTCGATATGTTCCACCATTTTGGCACTGAAGCCCTCAAAAGACTAGAAGACTATGTTTCCATTCTCATGTGTAATTTGGAAAAAATACTGCCTCATTCATTTTATGGTACAATGGTACATCTTATAATACATCTTTCATATGAAGTTGTGAATGGAGGGCCCGTCTTCTATCGTTGGATGTACAGATCATTTAATTTAATTGATATTTCAACATTATTTAATAAGATCATTTGTTTGTTTATCTCATTAATTATGCATAGCAGGTTTTTTGAGAGAGTTGAAAACGAAAGTGACCAACAAAGCACATGTATAGGCTTTAATATGTCAAGCAAAAATTCAACAAGAAGTCTCAACCTTTTTGTCTTTCTATTTTGAGCATAAAGTGATCACCAATACAAAGACACCTGCACGGAACGATGACACTGGCGAAGATTCATATGACAATGCAATTTCCATTTTCAATTACCCAAGTAGAGGTAAAGGAGTTGCTACTTATCGCCACCTCTTGGGTGAAGAATATCAAGTTGCTCATACTTGCATCCTCGAATTGTCAAGAATATCAAGTTGCTCAAATTTTCTTTAGTGGATAATATATTTGTCACAAATCCCATCCGTGACAAAATTTAAAAAAACTCAACCTTTTTTGACGGATAATATATTTGTCAT